AAGCTTCAAAAGTAATTATTGTTCTTTCTTCAAATAATTAACAATTAATATGTCAGTTTTAGCTTTTATAGAAATACAATGATTTTTTCTAATTTTGACATGTAATTTGACACTTTTCAAAACTGACGAAAGTTTTTTGAATCGTTTCATTCAACGTAACCGGTTGAGTAAAGTAAAATATCACCTAACTTGTGATGAAATGTTGATTTCCGTCGACCTCGTATTAACGAGTAAGTTTTATGTTCATGAAATCGTTCATTAATGATTAATGATCAATTTGTCTATTAATGCACGATTGTTTTATAGGCAACCAAACATACACCGCGTGCATTCATTGTTTATGCTTCAACTTACGGAATCTGCATTTAAATCGAAAATATGAATTTCATCGAAGATTTTCCGTTAACGGTTTCGCCTTTCCAAGTTTCTGACACGATTTCAATCCCTGTTTCCTAACACAAAAAATTTATTTTCTATGTTGATCATTTTGACAAATGTCAAAAATGTCACTAATGTCAGTAACAAGGGTACTAGGTGATTCTTAACAGTTTACGGATGAATGATGAATTTGCGAACCAAGTTTTCTTCATTGCAGGAAAAATGAGAAATATTGTCGACGGACAAATTTTGTAACCAACTTGTATATTAAAAGGCGATTAATGATCTCGATCATGAAAGCGCTCGCTTCGCGTCGATCATTAATCGCCCTCATTAATACACTAGTTGGTTTAATAACTATTTCAACACCAGTTACTTTTGATATGATATCATTTTGGCAATCTGAACTATCAATCATTTTCCAGCTTCGCTGGTCCCGCAAAATCCCATAGTTACACAAAATGAAGCGTTTCCTAACTGCTTACGTAAATATCAGTGACACCGATTTTATTGTCTAATCTTTGGAAATATGCGGTCAACCCATCAAGACACTCTATTTCGTGGTGGGGGAAATATCTGATACGGAATCTGAAATCTTATACAGGATGTATATCATATTATGCCATTACAAAATGTTACCACAGATTTATGAGGCCAAGATGAAATGATTGAGGAAGCTTTTGATGAAGTCAAGGCAGGTTTTTTTCATCCACAGTTGGTACTCAAAACGGAAGATTTTGGCTCAGATGCGAGTTTTGTTCAGATTACTCATTTTTGTCTAGAGACACTGTGGTATCATTTTGTATGTACAGGATGATTCATACTTCTCGCAAATGGCTTATAACAGGAAGAAGAAAATTGCAAATGCAGATTTGGCAGAGGGGATATTTGAAGTTATTTTTTATGTTTATTAATAAATTTCAACTGAGCCCGCTGTGATAAAAATCGATCGAGTTTTAGTTTTAATTAATCAATTTTAATATGAATGAAAGAATAAGTATACTAATTTATATTTTTTACAAAATAATTTGTTTCCCGGTCGACTTGATTTTTATTATTGTGGGGTCAGTTGAGATTTATTTGAAGTTACCAACTTTAGAGTCTCATATCAACCAAATGAAGAAAGAAAAAACTTTCTGGATGTAAGTTGTACTTTCAAAATATGTTGTGTAAAAAAATGGTAACTTTGTGGAAAAACATTTTTTTGGCCTAATCCCACCATTTTGAAAAAGATTGAAGAACGTTTAAATACAAAGAATGTATACATATATCCAGATTACCTCTGCCAAATTTGGATTTGCAGTTGTCATTTTTCTTTTATGAGCCAAGAGCGCGAAGCTCGAATCATGTACAATCATTTGGCGATTCTGCGTATATATACAGTGTGTCCACCTTAAGGACTTACCACCCCTGTAAAATCGTTACTATCCGACCAATTTCAAAAAACCTTTTTTTGTTGGATAGGTATTTGAAATGCCCATCCAACGAGAGAGTGATCTAATTCTTGGACTGTTATCGTGGCCAACTGCGACAAATTTCAATGACCCACCCAGACAGCACCAGATATTCCATGAATATTCATAGAATATTCTTTTTGGATATTGCGAATATTCATGAACATGCCAGGGATATACATATCAACTATGGAATATTCCCTGAATGTGCTGGTGGGGAAAATTTTTTATATTCCCGGAATATTACACAAGGAATATTCCCTATATATTCAGAATGTACCTATAAAATTCTAGGTATATTCAGATAATATTCGGAATATTCCTGGAATAATACAGGAATATAAATTAATGAATATTCCGGGAATATTCCGTAATACATATTCATAATCAAAAAAAGCTGACCCAAGATGGGCTCGAACTCGGGACTTTCAGACTGTCAGATCAACGCCTTAACCACTTGGCCAGTAATCGAGTTGAATAATAATGTACATAACAATTTATTGAATTGCGTTGTTCAGAAGGGAACCATAAACACTTCCAGTTCCATATGGGCTTTTAACATGTACGATGATCTGATTGAGTGCTTTGATCACTATCAAAATTGTGGAGACGACTTTTTGTTTTTGATCCCTGGTAACATAAGCACTTCACTTTAAAATACGATAGGCTTCTACCACAGATTTCAAAATCGATGTTTAATACTCACATCTATAAAATTGTGATTGGTTAATTTTCATACTTCACAATTTCATTGAAACACATGGGAATATAATTGAAATATTCCATGAATATACAGGAACACAATATTCAATTGGGAATATTCCTGGAATATTCATACCTGAATATTCCCTGCACTATCCAACTGGAATATTCTTGGAATATTCACTTCAGAATATTCCTTCTGGAATATTCCCTGTATATTCATTTTGGAATATTACTAGAATATTCACATTTGAATATTCCTTGAATGTTCCAGAGGCACGTATATATTCTAAGAATATTCGAAGGATATTCAGAATATATTCTTCCCTTTTAGCATATTTAGAGAATATTCTAGGAATATCCAGTGCTGTCTGGGCATATTCCAGAGTGCTATTAGGGATTTTTTTCCACGAAACTTGATCATGGATTCTGAATCAGTACCACTTGAAATATACCTGTACCGATTTTCATCATCATAAAACACAGGGTATCCGAAAAAACGAATCATCATTTTCTTCAAATAGGTGATCAGCAAATGTAGTTCTGTGCGTTTTCTAGAAAGAAATAATCACAAATTATCATCGAGGATTATTTCAAATATACCTGTACAAATTTTCGTCATTAAGATATACAATGTGTCTGAGAAAAAAATTAAAAAGGATAGGTAAGCAATATTTTTCATCCTGATAATTCTCCACTCGAAATAAAAAGATGAATCAGGATCACTTAGAACATAACTTAACCGATTTTCATCATCATTAAACGCAGGGTGTTCGAAAAATTAATTTAATATTTTTTTTTGAGTTGATGAAATAATATTGCCTACTTTTCCTTTTTGATTGCTTTCTCATATATACACATCGTATTTTTGAATGATGAAAATCGGTACAGATATGTTCAAAGTGATCCTCAATAATAATGTGTCATCAATTCTTCTCAAAAATACCACAATACTACAGTTTCTGATTACCTATTAAAAAGAAAACATAATTCGTTTTTTCGGACACCCTGTGTTTTATGATGATAAAAATCAGTAAAGGTGTTTTTCAAGTGATGGTGATTCAGAATCAATCATTGTTTTTTGTGAAAAAAATTCCCTAATAGTACTTTCTCAAATATGGGTCAATAAAGTTGGTCGCAGTTGGCCACGATTACAGTTCATGAGTAAAATCACTCTCTTGTTGGATGGTCATTTCAAATACCTATCCAACAAAAAAAAGTTTTTTGAAATCGGTCAGATAATAACAATTTTACAGGGGTGGTAAGTCCTTGAGGTGGACATACTGTATATAAATATATATATATATACAGGTGAACCACAATAAATTTGTCTCACCATAATACATGAAGTAAATCAGCTTTGAGTCATAAAAATAAAAAAATGTTAAATATAAACAATATCACTATTGAATAATGAATGTCAGTAAAATTAATCACAAAACTTTCTCCTAGTTTACTTCCTATAAGTTCAAATATACAGCTTTTTTAAAACTTTCTATAGGTTTAATAATTCTGCCAATTGGTCATTCCTTGATTACATCGGTATTATACCTAATCTCTAAAAATACGTATTGATATCAATATTGTCGATGGAAATGCTCCAGGAAAAAAATATGCACAATTCATCAAATCTCACCAACACAGTTTCATCCAATTTTCGTTCTATCGTACAATTTTTCAAGTTTAATAATATCACAATCCATTCAACAGTCCATAGAGTACCACTTTATTGGCCAGTCCATATTGATGAAGTTGTTGAAGTACCCATATTAACATTATAATAATTTTCTAAGACCGTTGAAGATAAGTGATGGACTGTGTGGTTCAAATTTGCATATTTTTACCGTATTTCGACAGTTAAAAGGAACAGATCAGAATGACTTTTCAAGTCGATTTTCTGAGCATAGTGATGTAAACATCTAATGCAGATCATAGGAATATCTAATAGAAATGTCTTACAAAAATATGTTACCGTGTCTGACACAATCCAGAATAAGTTTGAATGCTCTTTGAACACCATCAAATATTAGAACAGTAAAATCACATTTATAATTGGCTAGTGTTCGGTCAACACCAAAACACGAAGAAATAATTTAGTAAGAAAAGTGTTTCACGACGAATAAAAAGATGCATGAAACATATTGGTGGATGATAACATGATAAATGGCCATTTTTTCAAATTGAATATTTTTCAAGAGTGGAGAAGAAAACAAAACACTTTCAATATCCACCATAGCTAAATGCATCTCGGAAACGGTGTTACCTAACTATGATTTATATCACAACAAATAGTGATGATTGAATTTGGTAGGTATCCCTCAAGGATGTCCACTGAGGCTCATCTAATCTATCATCAAGCCGAGTGGCTGGTAATCAAGGCTATTTATCTAATAAATATGGAATCCAATGAATTCTGGAGTCAATAATATCTTAATGTGAACAAAATTGGTTATTCTTTCTCTTTTTCCATAATTTTTCTATACAATATTGATCCACTAGCAACATGCCATGATTTTCCACTTATAAATCGCCCTGTATAGAAAATAATAATCGTAAGGAACTTCGTTTTTCTGGAGTAGGAGAGTGCCTGTAAATACTACTGAATATGACTGTAAGGCTTCTTCCCCAAAACAATTATCTTCGATAACATTAAAGAATTTTTACAAAATAGATAGTAGATTCAATGCAATAAAAAACCTGGAGAAAATACTGCATTATGTGACAAGAAGGTACAGAGATTTCACGTCATATGTAGTTAAATCGATGATATACAGAGTGTTCTCCAAGGTGTGGCATCTTTTTCAACAGGATATGTAGAACTCGTAAAAGTAGGTAATTTCACAAAAAGATTTCCATGATTACTGAGCAACAAGCTGTCGTAACAATAACTTATTATTTCTGGTTTATTTTCAGAACCCGTCAGCCTTTAATTTTTTTTCTGAGATAGAACCTAAAATCGGCTGATTTGAAACCGGTATTTGAGTTTCTATAGGCTTAAGACTACTAGCAGATATGCACCGGATAGAGAGATTCTATATCTTCGAAATTTTTTTTTCGGTTTGGAATTCTCAAATTGATGAGCAATAGTATTAATTCAGGCCCACATCTCCAACGAAACCAAGCTTTCAGCATTTCCAAATGGCACAAAGTAAAAGGTGGTGGTGACTTCATGAACCACTTGTTGATAAAATGAAAAACAACCTTGATAGGGAAATACTATCTAGGTACGACTCGAAAAATAGTACCTAAGTGATGGTAGGTCCTTGGACTAGCTAGAGTCACTGGATGGTATTAGTAACTCTAGAACTGGTTAGTGGTAGAAAAAAGATTTCATATTTTGGCCGCAGGTAGTGATACATATGATTTTTACGACAAGCATGATTGTGTATGCTTTTCGTGAACGTAGGTACCAGGAGTAGAACTTCTACCACGTTGCACCGAATAGAGAGATTCTATATTTTCAAAATAGTTTTTTCGGCTTGAAATTCTCAAATTGCTGAGATGCATATCCTGCTGTAATGGACTTCTTACCTCTGAGGACCCCCTTTATACCCCCTATCAGATTATTATGGAAGAAAACAATGTTTGGTTCACGTCTGCTGAGACACCCGATTCATTCTCTGAAATAACTGATCAACAAGCTGTCCCAACAATCACTGAATATTTCTAGCTGAGTTTTAAAGCTGTTCAACCTTTCAGCTTTCATTTTTCGATCAGAGACAGAACCAGAAATCGGTAGATTTAAAACCAGATTCGGTAGGACTTCTACCACGTATGCACCGAATAGAGAGATTCTTTATCTTCGAAATATTTTGTCCGGCTTGCAATCCTCAACTGCTGAGTTATAGTAGAATTTATTGGGCTCACATCATAGAACCAGCCTTCCCAAATTGCACCCTCTCATCACAAAGGGATTGGATACTCGAACACTAACCCTACGAAGGAAAGATACTTATCGATGAGGAACTGAGGAAGTTCAGTCAAAAATAGCAGTTCAGCAAGTGAGGAAATTGGGTATGAACTTGTCGCAGGTGGATTTGGAGCTGCAGCTGCTATCGGAGCAGAATTTCGCTGACACGAAACTACCTTGATAGGGGAAGACGACTCGAAATATAGTAAGTGATGGTAGGTCCTTGGACTAGTGGTGGGATAAAGCATATATTTTCTCCGCAAGTAGTGATACATATGAGTTTAACTATAAGCCTGATTGTGTGGGCCTTATGTAAACGTACCAGTACACAGAATTGTAGGGTTAACATTCGTTAACATCTTTCTATATGTTTCCATTTTGAACACTGTTATAGAGGCATATTTCACGTATTGCATATCCTGTTGTTATGGACTTCTCACCTTTGAGAACCCTCTATATACCCTCTTTTTATGCAAGAAAACAATGTTTGGTTCACGCCTGCTGAGACATCCCATGCATTCAATCAATTTATCTAAAATTACTGACCAACAAGCTGTCCTAACAATCACTGAATATTTCTAGCTGACTTCCAAAGCAGTTCAACCCTTCAGCCTTGAATCTTTTTAGAGACAGAACCGGAAATCGGTAGGTTTCAAACCAGATTCGTTAGTTAAGTTCACGTATGCACCGAATAGAGATTCTATATCATCAAATTATTTTTTCCGGCTAACAATCCTCAATTCCTGAGTTATAGTAGAAATTAGGGCCACATCATAAGACCAAGCTTACAGCCTTCTCAAATGGCACCCTCTCATCACAAAGGGATTGGATACTCGAACACTAACCCTACCAAGGAAAGAGACAAAAACATCTTATCGATGAGGAACTGAGGAGGTTCAGTCGAAAATAGCAGTCCAGCAAGTGAGGAAATTGAGGATAAATTTGTCGCAGGTGGATTTGGAGCTGCAGCTGCTATCGGAGCGGAATTTCTTGGACTTTTCGCTGGCGGTTTTTGACTTTTTCTGTATGAAGAATCAGATAATAATAGCTATGACTTCATGATGTACTTGATGAAATGAAAAATCCACCTTGATAGGGAAAGACTACTTTACGACTCGAGAAAGAGTAAGTGATGGTAGGTCCTTGAACTAGTGGTAGAAAAAAGATTATATTTTCTCCGCAAGTAGTTATACATATGAGTTTCATGACAAGTATGGTTGTGTATGCCTTATGGAAACTAACCAGGACAAAGAATTATCGGGTTAACATTTGTATCAATAACCTCTCTATGTTTCTATTCTGCTAATTGTTATAGGCATATTTCACGTGATGCATATCCTGTTGTAATGAACTTCTCACCTTTGAGAACCCTCTATATACCCCCTTTTTATGCAAGAAAACAATGTTTGGTTCACGTCTGCTGAGATATCCTATTCATTCAATCAATTTATTTAAAATTACTGACCAACAAGCTGTCCTAACAATCACTGAATATTTCTAGCTGACTTCCAAATCAGTTCAACCCTTTAGCCTTGAATTTTTTTAGAGACAAAACCAGAAATCGGTAGGTTTGAAACCAGATTCGTTAATTAGGTTCACGTATGCACCGAATAGAGAGATTCTATATCTTCAAAATATTTTTTCCGGCTTGCAATGCTCAATTCCTGAGTTATAGTAGAATTTAGGGCCACATCATAGAACCAAGCTTACAGCCTTCCCAAATGGCACCCTCTCATCACAAAGGGATTGGATACTCGAACACTAACCCTACCAAGGAAAGAGACAAAAACACCTTATCGATGAGGAACTGAGGAGGTTCAGTCGAAAATAGCAGTCCAGCAAGTGAGGAAATTGAGGATAAACTTGTCGCAGGTGGATTTGGAGCTGCAGCTGCTATCGGAGAGAAATTTCTTGACCTTTTTGCTGACACGGAGCCATTGAAGGGTAACTCTTCCACAGGGCGGTTTTTGAAGTTTTTCCGTATGAAGAATCAGATAATAATAACTATGATTTCCTGAACATGATGAAATGAAAAAACTACCTTGATAGGGAAAGACTACTTTACGACTCGAAAAAGAGTGAATGATGGTAGGTCCTTGGACTGATGGTAGGAAAAAGATTATATTTTCTCCGTAAGTAGTGATACAAATGAGTTTCACGACAAGCATGATTGTGTATGCCTCATGTAAACGTAACAGGACACAGAATTGTAGGGTTAACATTCGTATCAATAATCTTTCTATATGTTTCCATTTTGAAAATTGTTATAGGCATATTTCACAAGTTGCATATCCTGTTGTTATTGACTTCTCACCTTTGAAAACCCTCTATATACCCCCTTTTTATGCAAGAAAACAATGTTTGGTTCACGCCTGCTGAGGCATACCATTCATTCAATCAATGTATCTAAAAGTACTGACCAACAAGCTGTCCTAACAATCACTGAATATTTCTAGCTGACTGTCAAAGCAGTTCAACTTTTCTAGCCTTCAATTTTTTTTCAGAAACAAAACCGGAGATCGGTAGGTTTGAAACCAGATTCGTTAGTTTAAGTTCACGTATGCACCTGATAGAGAGATTCTATATCTTCAAAATATTTTTTCCGGCTTGCAATGCTCAATTCCTGAGTTATAATAGAATTTAGGGCCACATCATAAGACCAAGCTTACAGCCTTCTCAAATGGCACCCTCTCATCACAAAGGGATTGGATACTCGAACACTAACCCTACCAAGGAAAGAGACAAAAACATCTTATCGATGAGGAACTGAGGAGGTTCAGTCGAAAATAGCAGTCCAGCAAGTGAGGAATTTGAGGATAAACTTGTCGCAGGTGGATTTGGACCTGCAGCTGCTATCGAAGCAGAATTTCTTGGCCTTTTCGCTGTCGGTTTTTGACTTCTTCTGTATAAAGAATCAGATAATAATAGCTATGACTTCATGATGTACTTGATGAAATAAAAAAACCACCTTGATAAGGAAAGACTACTTTACGACTCGAGAAAGAGTAAGTGATGGTAGGTCCTTGAACAAATGGTAGAAAAAAGATTATATTATCTCCGCAAGTAGTGATACATATGAGTTTCATGACAAGCATGATTGTGTATGCCTAATGTAATATAACCAGGACAAGAATTATCGGGTTAACATTTGTATCAATTACCTCTCTATATGTTTCTATTCTGCTAATTGTTGTAGGCATATTTCACGTGTTGCATATCCTGTTGTAATGGACTTCTCACCTTTGAGAACCCTCTATATACCCCCTTTTTATGCAAGAAAACAATGTTTGGTTCACGTCTGCTGAGACATCCCAATCATTCAATCAATTCATCTGAAATTACTGACCAACAAGCTGTCCTAACAATCACTGAATATTTCTAGCTGACTTCCAAAGCAGTTCAACCCTTCAGCCTCGAATTTTTTTAGAGACTGAACCAGAAATCGGTAGGTTTGAAACCAGATTCGTTAGTTAAGTTCACGTATGCACCGAATAGAGATTCAATATCTTCAAATTATTTTTTCAGGCTTGCAATCCTCGAGTTATAGTAGAATTTAGGGCCACATCATAAGACCAAGCTTACAGCCTTCCCAAATGGCACTCTCTCATCACAAAGGGATTGGATACTCGAACACTAACCCTACCAAGGAAAGAGACAAAAACATCTTATCGATGAGGAACTGAGAAGGTTCAGTCGAAAATAGCAGTCCAGCAAGTGAGGAAATTGAGGATAAACTTGTCGCAGGTGGATTTGGAGCTGCAGCTGCTATCGGAGCGAAATTTCTTGGCCTTTTCGCTGGCAGGTTTGCGTGGCACGGAGCCCTTGAAGGGCAACTCTTCCGCAGGCCGATTTTTGGACTTTCTTCGTATGTACTCCAGTATCCGTTCGGTTTCTTGCTCGTCGAGAATACCGCTCCTGTCTGGGCCTTTGACACCGTCCACTGTTCGGCAAAGGAACTCTTTCTTCGACATCAACCCATACCTAGAAACATAGAAAAATATCTAGTGAGCTTCATTTCACCTCCAACTTGTTTCTTGATCCAAAGCAACGATCTATTGTAAGTACCATTGATTATTTACAGTACACAAAATAGATGATCCACCTTCACAGACCCGGATTAGAAATTTTGGCGCTTCAGCAGCACATATTTTGCCGCCCCTCAATACTTTGGTTAGGTTCCACTTTTTTACATCATATTGTGGAGGAACATACAGGTGAAAAATGTATGTATCTATATAAGAATGAATGTTCGTCTGTATGTCATTTATAAAATCGTAAAGCGGCTTGACCGATTTAATGAATTCTTTTTTTGTGTCTGTTATTGTCAGGAGAAAGTTTTTTTGAGACTATTCCACTCTTGATCTCGAGAACCAATAAGAATCGACCATTTTCACGGTTTCTTCTGTATTCTAGCGAAATTTTTTGTTTATTGAATTTTATCGGACTTGCTCTACCAATACAGAAGCCGAATTGACCCACACGTGACCAACAAACCTCGTTTATCAGCGATAAAATTTTGACATCGTGTCTGGTCAAGATTGCTCTGTATTCAAATCTAACACAAGAGACAATAACCTAAGTACCTACTTCATTTTATTTACTTATAATTCGCGTTAGTGAGACATTTTGTACGAAAAGCGAGACAATTTCATTCTGGCTGGACGTTTCATGTGTAATTTAATAAGTTTGCATATTTGTTGACGGCCTAACAACAATACTAGAATTCAAATTCCTTTTTAAAGTAAACTTCTTCAGTCACTCACGTTATTGTGACTAATATAATCCAGGTGATGTGGCTCAACTGATAGGATTGTTGCGCGGTGATACGAAGGTCGGTGGTTCAAGCCCGTCGGCGACAATAGTTTTTTTTTTATTATTTCATGTCACATAAATTCAATTTATTTTGTTCGAATTGGATAGCAAATGTATACACTCTCTTGAGAGCAACCATCTCCAAGATAATAAACAAAATACTGTTCATCAAAATTGTACATTCCACTTTGTGAATAACTATAAGTAGGTAGTTAATTTCTAAAAAATTGAATTCTGTATTTCATTACTATCATTATGTTCTTCTTCGCAGTTTGAGTTGGGATATACTTAAATTATGTTTCCTATTTCTTTTATATATTGTCTCATTCAATCATGAAATAGTAATACGAATACAACTCGTGATACTATTTTTCCTGGAAATATTCGTCAATTGACATACTCCAGCTTGCTGCTCTGATTTCGCTCATGACATTGATCCAAAACTACTCGCCTACGGCTCGTAGTTTTGATAGCAATGTCATTCACGAAATTACTAGGCAACAAGCTGTCGTAACAATCACCGAATATTTCCGGCAAAATATTATCACTTGTGGTATTATATATGAGAAAATAAAATGGAAATACAAGATGGCGGATCCAATATGACGGACGAGTTTTGTAATTATTATCCGATTCTATTCGAAATTGGTATGTGCGGGTTTTTGGGGTCAGAAATTATGAGTCTTTTGTCAAAATTGGGAAATTCGAGATGGCGGATCTAATATGGCGGACGAGTTCTTTCAAAATTTGGTTCCAATCCTATTCAAAATTGGTATCTGGAGGATTTTGAGGTCGAAGATTATGATCCGATCTCTTCTCAAAATTTGAAAATTCAAGATGACAGATCCAATATCGCGGACGACTTTTGTAATAATAATCATAATTATTATGATCCGATTCTGTTCAAAATTAGTATCCGGGGGCTTTCAGATTCGAAGATTATGATTCTTTCGTCAATTCTTGGAAACTCAAAATGGCATGATTCGATCCTATTCAAAATTGTTATCTGAGGGTGTTTGGAGTTGGATTATGATTCCTTCGTCATAATTAGAAAATTCAAGATGGCGGATTCAATATGTTCAAATACTGGTAGGAAGGTACTTGGCCAATGTAAAGAGGAATTCCTTCTTTCTGAATAAGAAAAATCAATAACTTTGATATTCTGAAGGCTTTTAGATACGAATATTTTAATTTGGTCCTGATGCGACATTCTTTTTCTTCTTGCATGAAAACATTTCAAAATAACGAATATGTCGCAGATAGAAACCGTCCCCTACTGAATAGAATTTCTGTCTTCATTGCTCTCATGAGGATGGTTCATTTTGTTAGTGTATATAATCAAGGATTATACAGGGTGTCCCTTCGAGAACTGCATCGATCAATATATAGAAAGCCATAGGTGAGCCAAATTTGAAAATTTGGCAGTTCACTATTGTTGACAAGTGCTATCAATCTGAAATATTTTGAAGACTATGGCACTTTCGGTTGCACCGGGAGTGGACTCCGACTTCGTTATTTTATATAGAACACCCTGTATATTATATATTAATTGAACTTCATTTGCTAAAATATCACAAGGACTCAATACAACCTGTATACACTCGTGGATGAAAAATGCAAATACCATTTCGAACACAGCTTGAAAAGTGAGGTACAAACGAACAAAATTTCATAATTACTTGTACCAATTACTCGCACATTGTGAGAAAAAAATAGAAAATTCCGGAGAGTCCACCGGTTGAAGTTGACCATTCCAGGAAGCATAATAATCATTCAATTTCAACAGTACTAAAAATAATGAGGAAATGATAAAAACAAATATTATGCATACTTGTATTGTAGGTACTAACTCAGATAAGGAATGATAATTTCAAGTTAAAATTTCCGTTTCCAAAGTTAAGGCTGACAAGACCTATCCTAACATAATGTAAAGATACCTACCTTCATGCCGTTATCTAATCTAGACAGTAAGGAAGCTGTTATTGCAAATATTGCGAAGTTGAGTTGATTCTCAATATATTATTCCTAATATCTTTCTTCTCATGAAATATTGTACCTATATAGATCATACAATGAAAAGTGTTCACCAAAATGGCTGACGAGTTTTAAAATTATGATCCGATTCCATTCAAAGCTGGTATCTGGAGGTTTTCGAGGTCGAGGATTGCGATTCTTCTGTCAAAATTTGTGAATTCGAAATGGGGGATCCAATATGGCGGATGAGTTTTGTAATTATGATCAGAATCTATTCAAAATTTGTATCTGGGGGGTTTTCGGGATCAGAGATTATGATTATTCAGCCGAAATTCGAAAATTCAAGATGGCAGATCCAATATGGTGGACAAGTTTTGGTATTGGTATCTGGTGGGTTTTGAGGTGAGAGATTATGATTCTTTCGTCAAGATGGGCTACTCACAAAAAATATAAGACCAGTAAAAAAAACACTTTTGTAGTTAGCCCAACTAGAAAATGAGAAAATAAATAGTAGTTTGAAAAGAAACACTTTATTGTAGACAGACAAACTAACAAGAGGTAGAATATTGAATAATGAAAAAGTGTCGATAAAAACAAAAGATTGATGTTAGGTACTGATTACTGAGGTGGTAATAATTTCTATGTGGTGTATTTAACACACTTTCATTTTCTGCCTCTTTTTAGTTGGACTGTCTATAAAAGAGTGTTTCTCTAGTTTTTCCAACTGCTATTTTTTACTTCGAATTGACCACTGATGAAAGTAGCCATCATATTGAAATATCTGTTAGCATTATTATACAGGGTGTTCCTTAAAGACGTGCTGATATTCGAAAGGGGGTTTCTTTGACTCATTTTAAAAAGAAAACTCCATATGAACGTTTGTCCTAAAAGTCTTAACATTTGAGATACAAGGTGATGAAGTTTTGAAAAATATTCAGTTTCTTGATAATAACTGAGACAATATTGTATTCATTTCCATGAAATTTGGTACCTACACGTCCTTTATGCATCAAGGTGCATTTTCTGATGTTGAAAAATTTTTCATTTTCTCTACCAGTGGCACCGTTGTGGGAATATTATTGTTTATATTTTACTTAAAAGTGAGCAACGACAAAAAAATTTCAAATTTCATACAATGTCATAAAAGGCTATTTAATTATGTACAAAAAAGATTCTCTTGTTGATACTTGATAGAACGCTTCGTTTTAGAGGAAAAACGGAAAAACGAGGCCAGACTTAAAATTTTGATGTCCGAGTACTCCATTCACGGCATCCATTACTGGATAACCACAGTATGTTATATTTTGAAATTCGTATACCGATTCAGTCACATAGCAGACTGAATTTAGCTATCACGAAAAGCTATACAGGGTGGACAAAAATATAATCTATGCATATTTTCAACATTATAGGGATTCCCTTTCGTGCGCTCCAAGCGATAAAAAAAAAAAAAAAAAATACGTTCATATGAAGTTTCATTCTTGAAATAGGTGGAAGAATCGGCCCCTTCATTAGCATATCATTGAAGAACATCCTCTATAACCCTTTAGCATTTAAATTTTTTTTAATCCCTCGACAAATTATATAATAAACTTTTTGTCTAGGGATTTAAAAAACCACTTTATTTCCTAGGTGTATATTGTACAGGGTGGGCAAAATTGGGCGTTTTCGCCGTCTATCTCAATAACTAGAGGAGTTATCGAAAAACCGATATACATGTTCCGGGTTCGATTTTGGAGAAACCTCGAATGGCACAATCAAAATTTAGATATCTTCATTCGTTTTAGAGATACAGGGGGAAATTGAAAATTTGCCGATTTCGATTTTATTTTCTGACTACTTTACGGTGAGAGGTATCAAAAAATTTCAAAGGTATATTTATACAGTATGATGCGTGTAATCCATTGGCATCATCAGAAATTTCATACAGGGTGACGTTGAAAAGATACGGCAGCCAATTATGTTTTTTCTAATGGAACACCCCGTATATTTTGGCACAGTTGGATAGTCCCAGGCGTTCTCATTACAAATATATATATAACCCTGCCTTTTCCTTCCATAATTTCAGATATATTCGCAAAAATATATTCAGTGTGTCACATTTCTTATGGTTACACCCCCGTTTTTTCTGTATCTGGAATTTGGACATCTTCTATAAGACTATATTTTTTAACGCAACCTACTGATTTCCTAATTGAGTAAATTATTGGTCTTATTTCTGTATCTCAAATGTCTTGATAACAATGATATCAAATCGAATAATTTCCCATTTTATTTCTCACCAAATATTCATTTGTCTGGGAATAACATTCCCTATGATATTCATTTTCCACCTTTGGTGAATATATACAGAGTGTCATTTTCAACCTCGATTCTGCCTGTTAATAGCATTATCCAGAAATATCGATGATTCCATAGCTGCTGGCGAGCAGTGTTATCATTGGAGATGATCCCACTTGGTCCATGACTCCATGAGTGTATCATTTGTATCTGTTCTGACAGTTGCGAATTTTTGAATCCTACCTCAATTATTTTTACAGAAGATACGGGGGTGTAACCATAAGAAATGTGACACACTGAATATATTTTTGCGAATATATCTGAAATTGTGGAAGGAAAAGGTAAGGTTATATATATATTTGTAATGAGAACGCCTGGGACTATCCAACTGTGCCAAAATATACGGGGTGTTCCATTAGAAAAAACATAATTGGCTGCCGTATCTTTTCAACGTCACCCTGTATGAAATTTCTGATGATGCCAATGGATTACACGCATCATACTGTATAAATATACCTTTGAAATTTTTTGATACCTCTCACCGTAAAGTAGTCAGAAAATAAAATCGAAATCGGCAAATTTTCAATTTCCCCCTGTATCTCTAAAACGAATGAAGATATCTAAATTTTGATTGTGCCATTCGAGGTTTCTCCAAAATCGAACCCGGAACATGTATATCGGTTTTTCGATAACTCCTCTAGTTATTGAGATAGACGGTGAAAACGCCCAATAATCAATAACCCTGGACAAAAATAGTCCTCGAATAGTTGATGGATTACATCGGCTGATGTAGTTAAATTTCAATATCCGCGTGAACAGAGATAGATGAAAAGCTATCCAGAACTCCATCGGAGTTCGATCGACTGAAAAAAAAAACGAAAAGAAATATCCAATCTTCATCTTAACCATAACTTCGAAGTTGTTGACGTCAGCAGTCTGATCGTGACGTAATTCGAACTACGCTAGCGGAAGAAGATTGCCCTCGAGATTTAAACTTGCTTATTGCCTCTTTTGTTCCTGCCGCATACATCCTGATTGAAATCCAGTAAAATCGCTTGAGAGGAGGTGAAAATAATTGAGATGAGTTTGTGGGAATACGACTGAATCGAAAGTATTGATTCAGGTCAATGAATTCTAGTTTCCGGGTGGTCCACCATCAATATCTCCTAGAATAATTATTTTACAAAAAAAATTCGAAACAGGTCGATTTCCATATGAAGGAGGACACCTATTGACGCGAAATAAATAATTCATACTTCAACCCTCTACTCCCCAGAGCAACTCCCTCAATAATTTGAATAGGGAATAAGGTTCGTGTTATACATCATTGCGAAGGTTATTCAATTCTGAAACTAGCAGTGGAAAGTTTTTTGAATTCCAACAAGTCGTTCTCGAGATATTCGAGTTCAAATGGTATGATTTTCAATTGTGAGTAAATGAATGGAAATAATAGATTGTTGAAAAGGTATCCACAAAAGATATTCAGAATGACATCCATTGGGGTAGAGTCTATTTGAAAATTCCTCTTGTACGTTTGAGAATGTTTCTCTTGATATTGCTTGGCATTCAGTTCTTATTCTTCTCTCCAAATCATCGAGGTCAGTAGGTTTCGTTTTATAAATTACCGATTTTGAATGACCCCATCGGAAGAAATGCCAAGTCCGGCAGACGTGCTGTCCATTCTCTTGGTCCTCTATGGACGTCTACGATGATGGTAATCGAAATCTATTGGCAGATGATATTTATTTTCAACAGGATAATGTGTCACCTCATTATGTATCACAGGTGAGAGAATGGCTACCCAAAATTTCCCAAACAAATAGATAGGTCGTCAAGGACCATTTATAAATGGCCAGCACGCTCGCCGGACATGGCACCCAATGATTTTTTTCTTCGCGGTCATCCGAAATCCGTTATTCATAAAACGGAATCAACTTTGACCTGGACGATAAGTTAAGAAGAATTAGGGTTGAATGCCAGGCAATAACTAGAGAAACATCTCAAATGTGCGAAAGGAATTTACAAATAGATTCTACCACTGTCTGGAAATCAATGAAAGTAATTTTGATCATTCGTTGTGGCTAACCATTCAATAATACATTCCGTACATTCAATTACTCGCAATTGGAGAACATATCATTTCAACTCGAATATGTCGAGAATGACTTTGGAATTCAAAAAACTTCACACTCGTCTACTTTGTTTGGTGTGGTGGGATCATTTTGTTGTAATGTCGCAGTACTGTTGCTTGAGTGGAAGAAAGTAATGTCGTCTGCAAAAAAATGCAATCGGATGGCTGAAGGTGATAGAATATGTCATTCACATATATTATGAATAGGAGGGGTCCAAGAACGTAGCCATGAGGCACTCCTATCGATGCTAGTTCAGTTTCGGAAACTGTTCCATTCAAAAATACAAATTGTTGTCTGTCCTTCATATAAGACTCAAAAAAATTGTAGGTAGTACCCCTGATACCATAACATTCGAGCTTTTGTAGAAGTACTGAGTGGTTGACACAGTCGAAGGCCTTGCTTATATATAATATGGTAAGTGGCAACACAAGCTGCTATTATGGCATTGAGATCCAATAGGATCACAACTAAATTGGTGTCCGAGTGTAGAAGTGCCCTAGAAAATATGGCAAAAACTAGGAAAGTCAGCCTCATGTGGGTTCCAGGACACTCTGGTATCCCGGGGAACGAGGAGGCAGACAGACTAGCCAAGATCGGTTCAGGAACGACACCCATTGGACCAGAACCGATATTGGGAATACCCAATAGTACGGCTATGTCCTTCATGAAGGAAATGCTACAGAGGCAGTTCCTTGAAACATGGTGGGACACACCAGGAATGAGACAATCAAAGCTCCATATAAAGGAACCTTCAAAAAGGCTCACGAGAGAGATCCTGCCACTTAATAGAAGGGATCTCAAGATGGTAGTTGGGCTCTTAACTGGGCACAACCACCTCAACAGGCACCTAGAACTCATAGGGATCAAAGATGATCCCATCTGCAGATGGTGCTTGGATGAAACATCATCACACATACTCACTGAATGCCCCGCGCTGGGGTATCACAGGAAAGCTGCCTTTGGGAGCATTGTACTGCACCCAAAGGATGTGAAAGTGACTCAGCTGAGGAAGCTGCTGAATTTCGTCAAAGAAATCGGCATGCCTAGCTGATTCACAGGACAAGTGGGCGCACAATGGGCCCGACTGAAGAGGCCTGAGTGCAGGGGTCTACGCACCCGCCCACCTGTGCAGAGAAGAAGAAGAAGAAGCAGAAGAAGAAGAAGTGGCAACACTGATACGTACCTTGGAGCGTAGGCGAGTTCTCTCAACACTGCCTTCAAGTTGATTCTTTGAGCTTGAAGCGTCCGCCTGTGGCACTCTTCGATGCACCACCGCATCACGGCGCTGTACACGATCATCTCGCTCGATACTTGCAGGGTGTCACGTCTGGTGATGCTCAGGATATCGCAGTAGTCCATCTCGAGGATCTCTTTTTGCTTTAGTGCGAAGTCCGCGTTCTTGTCGATCTCCAACAGGCAGTCGTTCTTCAGATTCTCGATGAGATCGTGGACCTGGAGTGAAGAGAAAGGGAACATTTTAGATCTAACAGAAAAGACAACACACAAATGAAGAATCAGATAATTTGAGGATTATCTTTGAATTTTCGGAGTATTTGTTAGATTTCACCCTGGATTTGACTAGATGATGGGTTTTCAAGATGAAAGTGACAGACGAGAATGACGTTAAAAATGTGGGCTAGAAGTCTCATCTTCTCTTGATATTTATATGAACTCGAAGCATTAAGTTGTTCCATCGAAACACGAAAAATTGACTTTCATTGGTCAATAGTGGAAAAAACGAGGAAAAAACTAAATATTCTTGTGGGTCAGGTTAGGTAAGGTCTCGTCTGGTGATGCTTAGGATATCGCGGTAGTCCATCTCGAGGATCTCTTTTTGCTTTAGTGCAAAGTCCGCGTTCTTGTCGATCTTCAACAGGCAGTCGTTCTTCAGATTCCCGATGAGATCATGGACCTGGAGTGGAGGAAAAGGGACATTTTAGTTTTAACAGAGAACACAACACATTAATGAAGAATCAGACAATTTGAGGATTATCTTCGAATAATCGGAGTATTTGATAGATTTGACCCTGGATTTGATGATAGGTTTTAAAGATGAAGGTGACACAAGAATGACATTAGAAATGTAAGTTAGAATTATTTTCTCTTCTTGATATTTCTATGAACTTACGCTGTTCCATCGAAACACAAGAAACTAACTTTCATTGTTTAATAGTGGAAAAACCGAGTAAAAAACTGAATATTTTTGTGGGTCAGGTTAGGTTAGGTCGCGTCTGGTGATGCTCAGGATATCGCAGTAGTCAATTTCGAGGAATTCTATCGTGGACCTGGAGTGAAGGAAATGGAACATTTTAGTTTTAACAAATAGAACACACAAATGAAGAATCAGACAATTTGAGGAATATCTTTGGATATTCGGAGTATCTGATAGATTTCACCCTGGATTTTACTAGATGATGGGTTTTCAAGATGAAAGTGACAGACGAGGATAACGTTAGAAAAGGTGGGCTAGTATTCTCTTCTTTCCTTGATATTTTTATGAACTCGAAGCATTACGCTGTTCCATCGAAACACGAAAAATTGACTTTGTCAATAGCGGAAAAACCAAGGAAAAAAAAGAAAATTCTTGTGGGTCAGGTTAGGTGAGGTCTCGTCTGGTGATGCTCAGGATATCGTGGTAGTCCATCTCGAGGATCTCTCATCTAACATGTTGATATTTTATCGATTTTACTAAACTCATAGTTCAGCCTCAGTTGAAGCAAACGAGTATTACAGAAATTTCCAATGGAAAATGAATTTAAATGAATCAAAGAAATAAAAGCGAACTATTGGTGGTAATCTTCATATTTTGGCGGAAGCATTAATTAGCGCTCCCACCAAAATATGAAATTGAAAGAGGAATTAAAAAGGAATATTCTCAGATGAATTATGAACATGAAAAAATGGATATGTATATAAAGAAATACATTGAGGATTCGCATTCTCTATGTGATCAAAATATCAATTCTTTATTTATTGAGAATTTGAATTCTCCTTCAGATAAAAATATGTATATGCACATAACAGCATTCTAAATGTTCAACAAAAAACATCCAGAAAGAGAGCATGAAAAATAAAAATCCTTTGAAATTAATCTGATGAATAATATCATGTATTATGATATATATAGCTCACCAATATGTTCAGTATTGGAATGAAAATTGAAATGTATAGGAGAAGTATACTTTGAATTTATGAATGTTACGGTTTCGGAAAATCTGAAATTATGTAATTTCTCGACATAACTGATGCGATTCGATCATTTCCTCTTGTTTATCTTTATGGATTATGGTTTCGTCAGCATTTCACGTTATGTAGTTGCATTTCATTGGACATATTTTTCGTGTTTCGAACGAATTCGTGATATCTATAGGGGTACTTAAAGGATATTCTATAACATTTCATGACATTTCATAACATTTCAAAGTATTTTGAAACATTTCGTGACACTTCACTCTAGCAATCAGATTGATTTAGAGATTTTTCATCAAGCATATTTATTTCATAATATTGCGAGGTTTTTCGAAATATTTCAAGGAATTTCAAAGATTTCATTTAGCATTTCCAGATATTTCAAGGTTCAATGCAATTCAAGGAATTAAAAGGATTTATTACATTTCAAGGCATTTTTCTAATAAGACAGGCCATCAAATGGAGGTCCATTTTAGGTCCAAACAAGATTCGGATGTCCATGGACAAGAAATGTACATCCATCGGATGAACCAAAATGCGTATTCAATGAAATACCACTGACACTATTCCAATGGATATCCAAAATATTTCCGGATATTTATATAAATCAACTGTATGTACAGGGTGGCTGGAATTCAAGCCTCATCATTGTGATCCCGTAAACCGTAAGAGATACAGGGTCGGTTAAATTATGGCGAAGTTGCACAATGTTATGCCTAACAAAATACCGTTTGGACGTTTTGGGAAAAAAACGAAATTTCGCGATTTCAATTTCATTTTTTTATGACTCTATTTGAATAGATGTTTCGAAACAAATTGCTCATTCTCATTGGTACTTTTCCTAATCTTCAATATGGTTTTATCAGATTTTCAAACGGACGTTTCGTCATTGAGCTGTCATCATCAACTTTGTATTTTCAAATACGGCCCTGTACTTTTCATTATGGATTTTGATAGCTTTTTACTTCCCGAAATCAACAAGATATCGCAGTTATTCGAAAAAAGTTTTTGTTTCCATCCCTATTGAGAATCTATTCTCTGTTCAACACATTTTGGGTTCTTATGGAAAATGCCGAATGAGTGCGATTCACCGATGATTTTGGGATATCAAACACTCTAAAAATCCAACGAATTTCGAGGAATTTTAAAGGATCTCAAGGAATACCTAGACAGCACCAGATATTCCATGAATCTTCCTATCATTTACCTTTTGGAATATTGGAATAACCTAGGAATAATCAGTAATATTCTAGATCTGAATATCTGTGGAATCCCTCAGATATGCATAGAATATGTCCAAGAAAATGTTCTATATTGAGAGTTCCTGGAATATTCTGATAAACATATTCTGAATTAGAAAAGTGACCAGCGAGATGGGATCGAACACGTGACTTCCAGACACTCAGAGCATATCGTCCTTAATCGCTAGACCAGTAATCAGTGGCATAATCAAGAGGGGGATCCATGGGGTCTGGACCCCCCCCTCCCCCCAGAGCTGTATGAAAAACCGAAACTATCTGGTGAATAATTCTAATCATGGAGAAATTGATTTGTAATTTGTTGGAACCTCCGAACGAATATCAAAAGCTAGTTATTGTCATTGGAAATAAGATTTGTTTTACATGTAAACATGTGCCTCAAAATGCACTGCCTCCTAGCTACAGCCACTGTAAAGTTAGGTTAAAAAAAGGATTATCTAAAATAGTGACTAAAATAATGGATGACATCGTCTGAAAATTGGCATGTCCTTGTCTTTTTAGACACCTTCTTTTCTTCTTGCTTCAAAGATTATGTAAACCCAGTTTTGAAGGACTTGAAGGAGACTCCACCCTTTTATTGGCCCAAATTGTATGTTTCAAAAGATTATCTGATTTTGAAAAGCATCATTATATGATGAAGAAGTTTTATCTTGATCCCAACAATATTATATTTACATCGAATTTTGAATCACCCTGTATATTGAATAGGTGGTTTCTTTCTTATTTTCTTTATCTCCCCAAAACTAGTCGCATGATTTCAACAATAAAAATGCCCCAGTTTGAATTTTTCTTCTTTTCACTAACTGAATTAGTCGAATTTTTAATTTTCGTTTTTTTTTTTGTTTCTATTTCAATGTTTGTACCTGTTGATATGTGATATTATTTGATTATTTTTCAAAAGTATTCCTTTATCTTGTTATTGGTACCAAATGATGCACACATTTATTGAAACCAACGTAAGTTACATACATAATGCTGAAGCTATTCTTCCACTTGACCTCATGAAAAAATGGAAAACAAAAAAAATCTCACTTATTCGTTCTACTTAAAATTAAGAGAGTATCATTTATATCTAATACCTAATACCTACTGATCAAAATCAATGATTTCCTAGTATCGAAACAATTTTCAGTTTTATAATAACCCCACAACCATCTGTGCCTGTTTATTAGTTTGTCGGACTTTGCTTAATTAATATGTACTTTTTCACTTTGAGCTTGAATTGATGAATATTATTTTAATAGTTTATAATTATCAGGTAACTCATTTTATTGCTTCGGTGCACAATATAACTGAAGCTTTTTTGTACATATTAATTTCATGTAAGAGCGCTGTTCAAAATCTGAATATAAACACTTTTCGTTTCAAAATCTCCTTACAGATAATTAATGTTTGACACTCACATCTCTGAAATAATGATTGGTGTTCATGTGTTGAAGAACATGAAATATTTTATATTATTTTGTATATTCACAACCCAAAATATGCAGTTCGGTATATTTCTTGAATATTCACCTCAGAACAATCCGTTGGGAATATTTTATGAATATACAACACAGAATATTCAGTTGGGAGCATTCCTGGAACATGCATGCTTGAATATTCCCTGAACAATCCAACTAGAATATCCTGTGCATATTCACTTCTTAATATTCCTACTGGAATATTCACATTGAAATATCCCATGGATGTCCAGAGGCTTGTATATACTCTAGGAATATTCGACGCAATTATTCGGAATATAATCCTCCTATTTAGCATATTCAGAGATTATTTCTAGTGATATCTAGTGCTGTCTGGGTATCAAAGAATATCAGGGCATTTCAAGGCGTTTCAGGGGATTTCGAGGACTTTCAGGAAATATCATGAGATTCTGAAGAATTTCAAGAAATTCCAAAGATTTCCAAGGGATTTCAAGGCATTTCAAGTCACTCACCCAATCATCGTTGTGCCCGTCATCGCTCTCCTTCAAGGGCGGAGCCGAGGGCTCGGTGCTGTAGGGGTCGAAGGACCGCACCTTGCACTTGGCCAGCCCTTTGAGAATGGGCAGGGCGGTCCTTTTGCACATGCAGCCCTTCAGGCTCTCGATGCACTGGTTGGCCAGCGGGACGTCTTGCACGTTGACAGCTGTCAAAAATAGGTCCAGGGCCACTTCGGGTTTGTCGATGGTGAGGGGGTGAGGGTTCTTCGAACTGTCGAGATTACAAGAGAAAATGTTATGGAAATTTCACATTTTCTCATTCAGGTGTAAGAAAGCTACTAAAAATAGGTTTTTATCATTCATTGGAATATCGAAACAATCCTAAGCTGGTTGAAATTACATCGCCCAGTATATTTCAAAGTTCATCGAAATCGAGAGCCAAACCGAAATAATAGTTTACAATCCTATTATAACGAGTAGGTAAGAAGCACGAGTTTCCAATAGAGAATAATCCAATCCAATCCAGAATACTTATAGATTTAAGTAACTATTGTCCTACTAGTATGAGATTAATAAGGACATGATATCGAGAGATATAGTTGTTGGTTCATTTACTATATTCCTTTTTTCCAACAACCCGATTTCATTTTTGGATTGTAAAACGGGCAAGGCTAGCTCGGTCCATCTGAACGAGATCCAAATAGTTCTCTTTCTTCAAACACATACTGTGAAGGGTCTGAGATGAGTTTATTGCTTTCTGCATATGCAAAGGCAACCATAATATACTACGTATATTTTCTAGGAAGAATAATGAATTGTAAAGCGAAACTTGTTTGTTTCGAACCATATGATGAATGTTATTTATGGTTCTTTTGAAGGCGAGTTGAGAGATTTCTGAATGTAACCCTAATGATGGAATACCATCACATGATTGGCCAGATACAATTTGGCGCTGAGTTTTCGCTTCCATCATTTCACGTGATACCCTAGCTATACAAAGGTGATGTATGTCACAATTTTGTGGAAGTTCGTTTTTGAGCTACAATGGCACCAGACCATTGCCTCAGAAAGTTGAAGCCATCCGAAATTTCAAGAAACCTGAGTTAATCAAAGATATGAGAAGATTTCTAGGTGTCATAAATAATTTCTATCGAAGGTTTATTCCGAATGCTTCTCAAGATCAGGCGATTCTCACGGAATATCTCAAATAAGAGACCAGGAATGACAAACGTCCGACTGTTTGGACCGATTATGCAGAGGAAGCATTCGATAAATGTAAGGAAAAATTAGTGCAACACTTCTTGCTCACCCAGTAGAAAATGTACCCCTAGCTTTGACTGTTCACGCCTCTGATTTTGCGGTTGGTGGTGTTCTTGAACAATTTCATGAGAACACCAAGACTCCACTTGGTTTTTTGTCCATAGTGCCTACGACAGAGCACTTGTAGCAATGTATGAAGGTGTCAAGTATTTCAAATACCTGATTGAAGGAAGACACTTCATGATTAGGACAGATCATAAACCTCTCACTTACGCATTTCAACAGAGTTCGCACAAATCAACACCAAGACAATTTCGTTACCTCGATTGTATAGGCCAATTCACTATACAGATCATACACGTTTCTGGTGACGAAACGTAGTAGCTTATGCACTTCCCCGTGTGGATGAGATTGAAGTTCCTCAGATCATTAGTAACGAGCAACTGGCGAAAGAGCAAGAGTACGACATCGAACTGTTTCAGCTCATAGGTTCGAAAACTCCTTTGACATTCAAGAAAATATGTGTGAACGGTTCAGACCTTTGGTGTGACGTTTCTACGAAAAGAATTCGACCGTACATCCCAAAAGTTAGTCGATTCTCAATATTCAAGATATTTCACGAGTTATCTCACCCAAGTTCAAGAGCAACAGGCCATGTTATCAGGCAAAAATTTGTTTGGCCAAAATGAACAAGGATATCGCAGAATGGTCAAGAGCTTGTATTCCCTGCCAACGTTCCAGAATCCATAGACATATACAAAGTGCTCCAGAGCATTTCCCTGTACCCCAGCATCGTTTTGAGCATATCCATATGAACTTTGGATACTGTGGTAGAGTATTACGAGTATGGCATTCGGAATTGAATTGAAACACTAGTACTTCATGTCAAACAGCTTATTTCAGATGAATACGCGAAGCTCAAAGTAATTTTCGCAAATATTCATAAATGAACGAAATTGGTAGATAACGAGAAGAAAACTACTTTTCTGGCTATATTCCACGCATAACATTGAATTACATCCTCCCTAAATCTATGCAATAATTTGTATAGACGAATAAAATCGCAAGTGTTTCCTACTTGAACGCCGAGCTGCGCCTGAGCTGATCAGGATGTGTTGCGGAGGGCTGTCCCAGATAGCATTCATGACCGCTATCTGGTGCGAACCCGACCCAACCTAAACGCATCCCAGCATTTTTTATTACTCAAAAGGCGTACGGTATTCACGATACGAACACGAACGCCAACTGAGCAGGAAAGCAACACTTCTAAACAAATTCACATGAAATGGGAGTGGCTATAGTTGCCCGATTGGCATGATTTCAACCAGGGAAAGCAAAAAGGCTCAAAGTGGAGTGAAAGGTTGAATCAATACGCGAAGCTCGAAGTAATTTCCACAAATGTTTATAAATGAACGAAATTGGTAGATAACGAGAGAAAAACAACAACTTTCCTGGCTTTATGCCACGTAGAACATTGAATCACATCCTTCCCAAATCTCTGGAATAATTCTTATAAATAACTAATAACGATAACATCCCAATTTTTTTCATTAAAGATTGTGCATATGTCTTGGCTAGACCGTTACAAATCATATTTAATATTGCCCTAGGATCATCTAAATTTCCAGACCATTGGACATCGAAAATTTGCCCAATTTTCAAAAATTGCTCACTCAATGACATAACGAACTACAGGCCAATCACATTATTGTCAAACTTTGCGAAGGCATTCGAAATCTGTGTATATAATAGATTGTCCCCAAAAGTGAACAACAAAATAGTATTAGAACAACATGGATTCATAAACAAACGATCAACCATCACTAACTTGATGTGTTTCACACAAATGGTCTGCGAAGCTATCGACGCTCAATCTCAAGTTGACACGATATATATACAGACTTCTCAAAGGCCTTCGACAAGATGGATCACACAATACTAATTTTGAAGCTGAGAAACTTGGGATTTGATGAGGATTTGTTGAACTTTTTCAGCTCGAATCTCACAGGTCGCTCACTATATGTTGAATACAGAGGTCACAAGTCGCAATCATTTATAGCCAGTAGTGGAGCACCACAGGGGAGTAATTTAGCTCCATTGCTGTTTTCTCTGTATATAAACGATATTACGCAAAATATTTCAAGTAGGGTTCTTCTCTTTGCTGATGATCTGAAGTTATTTCGTCCCATTAATTCGATAAATGACTGTCAAACACTTCAAAATGACATTGACAAGGTAGCCACTTGGTGCACTGCGAATAACTTACCACTCAACATCAAAAAGTGTCACTCAGCGACCTACACATCTAAAGTAAACCTGATAGAATTTGTGTACAACATCGACGGTAAAAACCTTGAAAAACATGATCTAACTAAAGATCTCGGTATTTATTTTGATTCTAAACTGCAGTTCCTATCACATATCACCAAAGCCATATCATCAGCAAAAAGAATGCTAGGTATGATATTCAGAAATTGCAAAGATTTTGAGAGTCAAGACAGTTTTATAAATCTATTCAACACTTATGTGCGATCTCGCTTAGAGTATGGCTCACTGATTTGGTCCCCTATTTATTCAACTTACAAGCAAAGCCTTGAATCAGTACAAAAATTATTCATGAAATATATGATATACAAAATCGATGGGTTATATCCAGAACAGGGTGTTGATAACTCTATATTACTGAACCGATTTTCACTTATCTCGTTGGAAGACCGAAGAAATTATTACTCGTGTCTATTTATTTATAAGCTCACTCATTATTCTGTTGATTGTCCAGATCTTTTGTCTCAGTTCAATTTTCTTGGACCTCGTATGAACAACAGAAACGAATTATGATTTTATCTAACAACGCCAAGAACAAATATCCTAGCAAAATCCCCTATTTATATGATGTGTAAGAATCTTAATGATGTCTGCGACAAAAGCGATCTCTATTCAACTAAAATTGGCTGTTTTAAAAGTAACTTAAGAAACCTCTACCAGTAACTAAATACTCAAGGTAATCATAATTGATGTATTATCCTATATCTATTTACTTATATCTATTATGAACTGTGTTTATTCTGTATTTGCATGTCCTGTAATTGGGTGCCTCACCTGTTTGGACAATAAACGGTTTTTTTTCAAATCACAAGTGTTTCCTTCCTGAACGCCGAGCTGCGCCTAAGTTGTTCAGGAACGCATGGCTACCTGCAGACCAGTTTCGAGCTTTGGGCTCTCATCAGTGCAGGGCTGTCCCAGATAGCATTCAGCTGTTTAGCAACATGAACAGCGTTTCCTCACTCTTTGAAGGGCGGGAACTGAGATGTTCGAGGTACTATTCATTCGAATGTATAAGCAAGCAGTGGATTTTTGAAACTCTCACCTTGTGATTGGTTTGTACATGTCTCCCACTTTCAGGCCATTGTCTTCTGCGCCTTTCAAACCATTTGATTCAAGTATGGGCTTGGATTCTTCGTGAAACCTGTCCTCTACCTTTAGCACCATTTTTTCAGATCAATCTGTAAAGAAAAAGCGATAGTTGAGATTTCAATCGAAAGAAAAAGGTTGAGAACATCTGCGAAGGTGTGTACAGAAGTGTATCGCAAACCTTTTACCTCGTATAGTTACAATAACACTTTTATAGCTTTGTTATCGAAAATATTAGACAAGAACATTCAATGGATTAGTCGCTAATCTAGCACGCGAAAGAAAATTTCGGATAATAGAAGGAAAAGACAAGTAGAAACCATGAAAATATACATTATCTCTTGTGAATTTTCAAAAAATGGTATGGTCTTAATTCAGGCACGTAGAAAATAATATGTATAGAACAAAAAATAATTATCAAGAATCACAGGTAGACTTAATTTTACTAGATATAAATGTTTGCAATTTTTTTTTACTTTACTAATCTAAGTTTCATAATGTGGTGCAAAATCATGTATTCAAAGTCACACTTGTAATATCATTTGATTTGTGATATGAACCATGTTTTAATTGATAGGATACCTATAATTTTTGTCAAGGGTCGTCTAGAAAAAAAAATACACTTAGATAAAATTCAAAATTATAACTTGACTTCTTGACTTGTAACAATGCAGTTCACTCTCGACTAATTCAGCCTCTATAAAGGTACTTACAATTTAGGATCAATTACGAAAACTTATTTGTCATAGGTACTTGCGCAGTTAATCAAGAATACGAGATTACTGAAATGAGATAGATCTGTTTATTGATCGTTCGTTTATTTATGTTGAATCAGAGATAACAGAGAGATTATCGACTATTGATGGTTGTGAAAAAAAACTCCTTAAATTCGCAATATTATGCTCTGGAATCGATTGTTCCGGGTTGCCGACATTTTGAATACTTGTACAACTATACATTTCATTAGTATGTGAATACTGAGTATTTAGTAGTAGTATAGTATTTATGTACTTTGTAGTTATGTATGGACATACCAACTGGCCATCGACTTTACAAGAGCTCCTTCAGCCTATGTGTGTTCTTTGTAGGCTTTTTTACTAACTCCATACGCCACCTTAGGAGCAGCACTGTCAATTGGAACGCAACAGTGAATCGTGCGGAATCATCTCCGACCAGGACTACGATAATTAGAATTTATGACTCGTTATTTAAATGAAATTTCTCTTCTATGCCGGGGATTCGAACCCAGCAACCTTCTGATGATCTGATTAAAAGTGAAGCGCCTCAAACCACTACGCTATTCCGCAGCCAAGTATTTAATAGTTTTACGGATAGTTTTTCCAGTGTACTCAAGGTTGGTAGAACTGATTAGGGGCAAGTGGCAATTTGTGACGAAATTACATCTAAAATTTCATGTTGAGTTCATAAAATCCATGTACTATTCTGGATCATAAGCATAAATCAAAAATAATCAGCTATACCTACCAATTTTGATATCGTTCGAAAGGGTATACGGCTATTCAAAGACTGACTAGCCGAACAGATCGTGGTTTGGAGTACGAAAATTGTTTCGATTACATTTACTTTTTGGGGTTATATCAGTTAGACCAAAGGTCAAAATTGAAATCTCGATGGAAATTCCTTTCATTTTGTTAATATACCTGTCAAATTCAGAGTCAGATTGAGGCAATATAAGCGACACTTATTGATAAAGATTGTTATTTATTATACAAGGAAAAAGATTATGTAAGGTAGCCCTCTCTTTCGGAAGGATGTAGATTCAAAATAATAAATATCGATCACACATCATTATTTGTTCTCCATTTTATTACAACCTGCGACATCGACTATCACGCAACAAGTAAAGTGATAGGTTTTTTAATCTATGGTGATAGTGAACAAAACAGTGGGACTCTGTAACTTGTGCCGCATAGCGAAAGCGTAGCGAAAGCGAAACGAAGCGAAGTATACGACTTCGCTTTCCGGTACTCTATATGTAGTTCGTTATGCTTTCGCTATCGTCATACGATTTCATACGAAATAGAACGAAGTTGGAGGAGTCAAATTTGGCAACAGTGTTGCGGATCCCATTTATTCAAAGGAAACATCCCATTGGATCAAAAAAGCGGCATTTACGAATTATTGTATTTTTAATTTTTTGTTTCAATCAGAAATAAAGCACTTGGAGAAGTTTTCGAGAGAAAAGAAATTCAATAAAACATCAGAAACACATATGAAGATGATTTATTTCTATGAATTGGAATGAATGTATTGACATCAACGCTAACAAAAATAGTAATCAGCCAAACAAGAACTTATTCTGCACAGAGCAGCTCATTGGAAAATATGTACCTACTTTGTTCATATAAAAAATTGGTATTTATATTCTCACTAGGTATATCTCAGGTATAGCTTTCTATTTATATGCAACTAGTAAAGGCAAATGAACTGAGAATAACAATAATATTGTAAGATATGTAACTGCTTATATTTATAATGGACATATCATTCTATAATCTAACACTCAGTATATTATTATTTACATACTATAATGTAATACCTATAAGAACTTGCTTCTCTATGTTGCATATCAAACAAGATGATAAGCACATATAATTCCTTGAATCGCCTTCTGCAAGGCAGCTATATGTTGACAGTGCATTTATACAGATGCACTTTTTCTTACAGTTCACTTTAGAATCTTGGATGGAATTATTAATGTAGTGAAAGTAGAATCCGTTCTTGTTCTTGTTCAACATAGTAAATAATGTTCAGTTAATCCTGTTTCATGGAATTTACTCTTGATTCTCCCTTATTGGTACACAGTAATATTACACAGTTCTTCTTGGGTGTCTCCAAGGTTTTTGCTATCCAAATTATTTTCCCTTCCAATGCACTTATTATGCAAATTTTTCAAATTTGAACGTTCCAGGCTTTCTGTTATGTTTCGCTGTTGTAGGTATCAGCATATTATATTAGTAGGATTCTTCAATTACCTATTACTGTCTTCTTCAATGGACTCACACCAAAGAAATATTTTTCTTAACAAGGATTCAGTGAGACAACATTCAGTAATGGCAGTTTTCAGTTTATTTTTCAACTACCAAATGAGCTGTATGTTTTCATCACACTGTCTATCATATTTTTCATCTCACGTTCTTTCATCCCCTACCTTAATCCTACCAAAGGGAACTTCCATCTCTCTGGAATATCTTTAGGATTTTGTTCGTGAAACTGAGGAATCTGTCCCACTGACTGAGTTGTGTTTTTGCTCGCTTTGTTATCCATGTTTGGGTTCATTCCTCATTTATTAATCTATTATTTTTCTCAAATCAACACAAAGTTCGAACTAGGAACAACAACAAAAACCAATACCTATAACCTCAATCGTTGAGAATCGCAGAAAGCGGCAACCAAAATCCTTCGCTTCTGCAGTGGGACTCTGTAACTCAAAGCGAAAGCGAAAGCATGCGTAATCGACTGCTTTTGCCGTTTCGGTACTCTGTATCAATATTCGGATGAGGTCGGAGACGCCGAACGTGAGTTCGTAAGCGAAGCAGAAGCGAAGGATTTTGGTTGCCGCTTTCTCATCGCTTTCTGCGATTCTCAACGATTGAGGTTATAGGTATTGGTTTTTGTTGTTGTTTCTAGTTCGAACTTTGTGTTGATTTGAGAAAAATAATAGATTAATAAATGAGGAAGGAACCCAAAGATGGATAACAAAGCGAGCAAAAACACAACTCAATCAGTGGGACAGATTCCTCAGTTTTACGAACAAAATCTTAAAGATATTCCAGAGAGATGGAAGTTCCCTTTGGTAGGATTAAGGTAGGGGATGAAAGAACGTGAGACGTGAGATAAAAAATATGATAGACAGTGTGATGAAAACATACAGCTCATTTGGTAGTTGAAAAATAAACTGAAAACTGTCATTAGTGCTGTTGAATAGGGTCTGGAATAATTCATATTCATTGGAATTATCCTTCTCTTTTAGATTCCTGATACATCAAAACAGGCAGATAAAATAAGTAGCTTCTCCAGAAGAAATGTGCCATTACTGAATGTTGTCTCACTGAATCCTTGTTAAGAAAAATATGTCTTTGGTGTGAGTCCATTGAAGAAGACAATAATAGGTAATTAAAGAATCCTACTAATATAATATGCCGATACCTACAACAGTGAAACATAACAGAAAGCCTGGAACGTTCAAATTTGAAAAATTTGCATAATAAGTGCATTGGAAGTGAAAATGATTTGGATAGCAAAAACCTTGGAGACACCCAAGAAGAACTGTGTAATATTACTGTGTACCAATAAGGGAGAATCAAGAGTAAATTCCATGAAACAGGATTAACTGAACATTATTTACTATGTTGAACAAGAACAAGAAGGGATTCTACTTTCACTACATTAATAATTCCATCCAAGATTCTAAAGTGAACTGTAAGAAAAAGTGCATCTGTATAAATGCACTGTCAACATATAGCTACCTTGCAGAAGGCAATTCAAGGAATTATATGTGCTTATCATCTTGTTTAATTTGCGACATAGAGAAGCAAGTTCTGATAGGTATTACATTATAGTATGTAAATATTAATATACTGAGTGTTAGATTATAGAATGATAAGCCCATTATAAATATAAGCAGTTACATATCTTACAATATTATTGTTATTCTCAGATCATTTGCCTTTACTAGTTGCATATGAATAGAAAGCTATACCTGAGATATACCTAGTGAGAATATAAATACCAATTTTTTATATGAACAAAGTAGGTACATATTTTCCAATGAGCTGCTCTGTGCAGAATAAGTTCTTGTTTGGCTGATCACTATTTTTGTTGGTCTTGATGTCAATATCTGTTTGTAGTCAATACATTCATTCCAATTCATAGAAATAAATCATCTTCATATGTGTTTTCGATATTTTATTGAATATATTTTCTCTCGGAAACTTCTCCAAGTGCTTTATTTCTTAAATACTGTCTGTAGGTTAATCGAGGAGGTGGTATATTCATTATTCCAAATTTTTTTGGGATTTTCTCTCCTCGTTTCTATGAAATAAAAATATGAATATTATTTCAATATACG